ATGCTAATCACAATATGCTTAACTTCCGTTGTGTTCAGGTGTGTGTATATGTGTGTACAGGATCCCGGTTCCATATGTGCACTTCAATTGGCCGTTTGTTCTAATTTGCATTGCCAAGACAAAACATCCTGGAATGTGATATTATCATTAAAATATCGGTCGGTCCTATTGTTAGTCTGACTATTCGATCCGAGTCACCAAGTGACCTGAATTGAAGAACTACCTGGTTTTCGATCCAACCTCGGTGAATGTCATCTCATGTTGTACTGTTTTATTTCCAATTTTTGTTGAGTACAGATGTTGACTGTTTGCATTCAGTCCCAGAGGTCACACTACAAATGTGATCACCCGCGTGCTGTTGTTGTTGCGGTTGTTCTACATTGCATGCGTATATCCGATTGTCAGGATCAGTGTCCGTATATGACTTATGGTATGTGTTTATCCTTGTGTTCCCCTCTAACACAAACACAATCGGTCAAGAAATAAGAATAAATAAAACTCGTCGCTTCAATGTGCCCGGCCTCCTCATAAAGCCCGTTCGTTGTCAGTTCAGATTCTGTGATGAGAACTAGTCCAGGTGCGGGTTTGGAAGTGCACAACTATGCACATTTAATCTGGGGTCATCGTATCGGCTTTAAAAGTATTTTTTGTTTCCTTCATTCGTTTGATCTCTCCCACACACACATACGCACACCCCTTTCTATACGTACTGTCCTTCAAAACTCCTTCGGTTTATTTACAGGGAAGTGGCTACGAAAAGTTCAATAGGTGCTGAGAGTCCTTGTCTATGCCTAGCTGACCGATGAATGCAAACGTATTTGAAGCGTTCTCCCGTCTATCAGGCAAACCAACGAGCATTAAAATTATTTTTGCACAGGGTAAACAGTCAGCCAACAGCTTTGATAAACAAGAAACACAACTAATTGTATTTGCCAGCTTGAACAGCGTTTCGTGTTTAACACAGAGATAGACAGTTGCAGAGATTTCACTACAACGGATACTTTCAATATAAGCGGTTCAAATATAAGTGTTCGCCTGTCCCACTATGGTGGGATGTTTTTTTCTTACACGCAATCCACTGTATGCCTTGATCCATCGAAGCGGCTGTGACCCGAGTTACACCTAAATGAGTCCGTGTGCACCAAACAGGCCGCGTCTAATCACGGAATCACTCACAAATATATTTTTCTATCACTGTTCTAATTAGTGAGTTTAAGGCTCCAGTAGGTAGTACGCTGGACAGTGCTCAATTTGTTGTACTGGTCAAGCAGGTTTTCGGTGACCATCACTCTCAAACCGCCATCACAAAAAGGCCAGACATTTCCAAGCAACGTTTCACCTCAAGCGAGGTTTCTTCACAGAAATGTTTTAGACCACGTTATATATTGTTTTCTGACATTGATTCGGTTTCTGGATCGTGATTTTCTGAAGTCGAACTCATTCAGTCACCATCTGGATGTAATCGAAAACGTGTTCCCTGTGTTGAAGATGGAGATAGCTATATCGAGAGTGGTCGTTAGATGCCAGGGTGTATGTTCCGGAGAAAAATGATAAATGCCATTTGCTGGCAAAATTGGTGGACTATGTGGCAGAAAGACTGAACAAAGCGCTCGAAATAAAAATAAGGCAGTTCACACGGGATAGTGACAAAATGAAATTAAAATATCTGTGTCATGCCTATAAGTCACCTTGACAAGTTAATTCCTGGGATGTTTTTCGTTATCCAACAGCTAATATGCCACCAAACGTGATCGAAATGCAGAAATCGTACCTTTATGAAGCATTCAACTAGCCCAGGTGGAAACTGTTGCATATATACTGTGTCTGGTGTGGGGTTATATGATATCCACTTTGGTGAATAAGGCTCAAAAGGCTGAGTGTTGGGAGGAAGTGATCAGATGAAAGTCAGGCTGTCGTACGAGTTCCATAATGCATCAAGCTAAGCAATACCAAAAACCGCTAGGTCTTGATTTGGTGCAAAGTTTTCTGTTATTTTTTACCATGATCTGTGACTTTCTCTTAGTCTGTCAGGATTCGCTTTGAAGGAAGTTATCTGGTGACTCATTTTATGGAGGCCTATTTATCGTGTCCCAGGATAATGACTGGACGGTTTGCAAAAGTTATTCGTGTCTGTAGTGACACGTAACAATGCCGGAGCACCGCTGATTGACCGCATGCATATGTGGCAATTTGAGTATATGAATAAATTGATAGATCTCGCTTGGCTTGGAAGCCCAAGGATTGCACAGTAGAACGATTACTGGTTGGACCTCGCCTCACCAATGAGGACTTTTGGCTGCATCGTTTCATGCGTCTTCACGTAATCAAGAGTCTTTCATACATAAATTGAATGTTATAATGACAACACGAAAGGCTTGTATGAGTAACTTTTTTCTCCGTTAAGTGGAGTTTAGTCTCCATACATGAACTGTGAAACGGTGTGATTTAGTGTTACATTTCATCGTTCAATTTTCAGTAGATCATCTTTTTAATTTTTGCGTTAAGAATGACTAAATTCACTAGGAAATTGATTGAAAAACTGAAACCATGAATAATATAAAACAAAATACTGAACAGCGTTCTACTTCAATCTTAACGGGCACTGGCTCACACTGTGTTTCTCGCCCTGAATGCTTCAAATCCGGGCGATGTTTTTTCTGAGTGTTAACGCATTATGCTGATCCCGCTTCGATGACTGGTCTCAACTTGGCGACTGACTTTAACCCACATGAAAATTTCGGGAAGATTATTACAATGATCATCACCTAGTCTGACCATGATGCAACGAAGTTGCGTTCTCGGTAGTCTGTTCAATATTTTCATCCACTAGTCGGATTTATATATGATATTCGCGAAAAAGTAGATGGTAATTGGTATGATAGTGAGTTAGTCAAGATGTTTCGAATGTTGATTGGTTTGAATTACTTCGTCTCGGTATTTCGACAGAACTATAACTCCCATTTGGTTACAGCAGGTTTAAGCCTGAAACTCACTTTCCCGGTAGGCTAATAATCCTCATACAAGAGTGTGAAGCCACTCGGTATGCACACCGGTGCATAAAATCAATATCGAAGGGAAATTGATTATCAAAGAGGTAAATAAAGCGTTGTGAATGATCGAAAAATCATCAATGTAGAACTAATTGTTTATTGGTACAACCAACATGAACAATAAACCGGGGCAATATTTGACACCATCGACCATCTCAGATGAAGTTTAGATGACTCGTTCGGTCAAAGCTATTTTATCAACACAGAAAAGTTTTATTAATGTGCATTGCTCATATGTTTTGACTTGTGCATTGTGTGAAGCAAGCCGACGTCGATATCCTCACTGGAGGATATTGATCTATGGTTTATGTGGCCGTGTCGCGATTTACTCTTTAAATGCTTCTAAGTGATGGGTCGGACGGGTCATCTATATGCTTCATTTTAATCTGTGCCACTGGATTTTCTCCCACTTCGACTGAGCATAAGTACTTGAACCCTGAAGGCCAGGACAGTCACATTGACCACTAATCCAGGAATTATGGCGCAATGCTTGTGAATGATTCAACTAATGAAGAGGGATTCCAATCCGATTCAATCCGATAGTTCTTGTCATTGGTAAGACTCGTCAACTGAATGCGGATACTTCACCGTAGTGCAGATTCACAGGAAGTGAAAGGTCAGAAAGGTTAGAAGAGTCAGGTTCTGTAAAAGCTATAAATTAATTTCTATAATATGCATATATTATGGCCGATAAATCTATACACATGACTGTGGTCATATAATCGTGTAATCTTAAATGTAGAGAGATTAAAGCTGAGACGTTTGAGCCGAGGAGTGAAGTTTGAAACCAGTATAAACTGAAACAGAAGATTCCTACCAACGGAGATGATGCTACCGGCGCCAGGTGACCACTCATTATGTGTTTGCGTATTCGAATGACAACAGTGAGATCCACTCACCCTCTCTCCTTGGCGAATGGCGTTACTTGTCTGATGAGGAGAAAAGAATTACAGAACTTTTCTGGAGTGCAACTGATACAGAATCATTGAATCTCAGTGGAGCTGCTGATAAACTTTAGCTACAACCAATCCGATAAATGCCAAGGTGAATTCTTAGCTTATTTTGAGGTTCATAGTAATCACCACAACCTCATTTTACTTTTAGTGTCAAAACTGGGCACAGATGTGCATTTGTGTTCGGCATGATTACATCGATTTGACCAGTCAGTTATCCATAGATAAATTGTTTGCGATTGCATAGACAATGGTGTAAATTCTACTGTTCCTCAGTAATGATTGAAATAAACGATTTTGATCGATCGGAATTACAGGTTACCAAGTCTCCTGATCTCCTCCAAAGCCTCAACAAAACATAATAACCCCCAAAAAATTCGCCATCTTCCTCAAAGTCACTGCTGATCCCTTATTACTCGTGCTAAATAATGCAATGATCAGTGAGCGACCACGGAGTCGTTTAAAACGGTCCAGTACATTTCACTGGTTGAAGTATTTCTTCAAAAAAGCAACTCTCTTCGGATAATAGGGGACAATACTTACCCCTTTAACCTAATTCTATCCGCTTCGATATCTACTCTCTACAGAAAAAACTAAGTGCAAATAATTGTATGTTACAGGTCACACCCACCACCTTCCTATAATCCCCTTTCTAGTCAAGCATCTCTATTGGTCAAACACCATGCATGCTGGACTAAAGCTAGTACTATTAAACGGCCGCTTTCCACTATTATTGCTACAAGTTGTTTTTCTATTAATAGTGTTTTATTGAATCACAAGTGTTTCTGATCATTTAAATGATAATATAATATTTCAGTCAGTTCTGGAAATTCCAACCCCTTGTGGATGAAGCCATTCTTGATTGCAATTGATAAGCGGCTTAACCACAATGAAATCAAACACAGTGTGAATCAACATTCAAAAGAATGAGTGATCGATCCCGAGTATGCCAAATTGCTACTTATCTTTGAGTAGAACTTATCCTGAATGAAATTATTTAACAAAATTTAATTTGTAAATGCTGGTAAAAGTTATAAAAGGGTAAGGTTAGCCACTCCTAGCTCTCATTGTATGATCAAAATCACTTACGCTGATGATAAGAAAAAGCAGCCTTCGATTACACCCAATGGTTGAAAAAAGGAGTTTCTTGAAGGCATCACACCAAACAGAGGGATAAATTACTATAAGGACTCAAAGGAAATTTCTCATTGCTCTAGAATGTAGTTGTGTTTAATCTTGACAATAACAACAATAATCATAGGTGGGTATCCAGGGCGAATGTGTAATGATCAAAACGGATTGGTGTGACTCACTGATTTTTTGCTGCAGCTGCTCGGTCTCGTTGCCTTCGATTTTTAAACCAGTTACCAACTTGCGTTGGTGTAAGTCCAGTAGCACTTGCCAGTTCCCGCTTTTTAGCCGGGCTCGGATACGGGTCTTGCAAATACCATTCCCGTAGCAGACCACGTGTACGTTCCTTGAAACAGTGCGTTTTCTGTTCTCCATCCCAGATTGTTCGTGGCATGGGAAACTTCTTGCGTACGCGATACTTATCCACTGGACCCAACGGCCGACCTCTAAGCTTTTCCGCTTCCTGATAATGTGCTTCTAACCACAGCGCTTGTAACTTGACATGTGAAGATTTGGGAAATGTGTGTCGTTCCAATATGGCGTACAATTCACGGAAATTGCCTGTGTGAAAGGCTACCAACGCACGTGCGCGCAGAATTACCTCACTCCGATTCAACACTTCCCAGAGACCAGCATGAAGTGGTAGGGACCAGAGAAAACGGCTCAAATGTTCAATATCTCCGGTTTCTTCAAACGTCTGACAAACACGAATAATCTCTTGTGGAGAAAATGACATACCCATAGATCCGTTGCTGTCAGCACTGTGCCCGATCGACGACTCCGTTTCATCTTGTTTGGGCGGAGTAAAATTGTAAGATTTAGACAGTTTGTTTGGAGTAGTACTGCTCGGAATTTTGTTGCGTGTTTTGTTCTCTTTGGTCATATTGATTTTCATCGACGACATCAAGGTGGGATAATCGGGGGGCTTGTAAAGTGGTTTGAATAAGTGCACACTCTCCGATTTGAAACCATTCTTCAGTCCGGTGTGATTATTCGTCTGATTTCGGATAGGAGGTATTGATGGGGAGGTTCGAGTTTCCCATCTGTCTGCCTGTTCAGGGATTGTGGAATTTCGTGACACAGAGGATGCAGTGAGACTCGGATCGAAATTATTTCCAAACGTATTTTTTGCGGCCAACAGAGCAGCAAAAAGGCGTTGGGGGCTGAGCAACCATTCTTGCGATTCACTTGTCTTATTCATTCTGGACAGATCAGTCGGAACGAGATTGAAGTTGTCCAACTTGTCATAGTTGATCATGGGTGGTCGAGACATGGATAAGTTTGTGCAATGTGGGGGAACTAATGAGATAGAATTCGGTGAGAAAAGTCCATGTTCCCTTCGATCGTTTAGAGTTGCAGATGAACGATCCGATCGGGCACTGTCCGATTTGTAGGCCATGACGGTATGTGATGCATCCGATGTAACCGGTTCTTGACCTGTTTGTGGAGGGAATTGTAAACTTGCGAACAATTGTGGAATGCCATGTGGGAGGAGCCGACGTAAAGCATCACCGGCAAAATTATCTCCTTCCAACTGAGTCGCGTTTGGTGGAGATTCTGACGGAGTGTAGGTATCGGTTGGGATTGTGGATCGGACAGTCACGGATTCAGGCAATGCAGTCATAAGGGAAAATAGACCAAAATAGGACTGTGTACTTCTTAAATCACTGTGAAATCGGTTCCAGCGGTGCTGCAACGACTGTGGTCGTTTGGTTTGGTTGTAATGAGTGTGGCTAGAAAATCATACTGATGTCCGGTGTAAACTTTGACCAATGTGGTTAGATAGATGAATGAATGGATAGCCTATCCAAGGTTGATTCGTTGTCCGGTGGCCAACAAAAGATGTGCTTAGTGCGTGTGTGTGTGTGTGTGAATACGTGTTTGTCTGTCTCTGTGACTGTATCTGTTCTTGGAACGTTCATTAATCCGCAGTGTATGTATGTATGTGTGTACGCGCGCGTGCTCGTCACACGTGTGAGACTCGCGTCCGATGGGTGGACGGCTGCCTGCGCGCACATCGTATGTGCCACAATATATCATACAAGGCTGGCAAAATCACATTCTGAGAATATTCAGTCGCAGGGTGGTACCAACTATCCGTGTCCATCTCTCCATTCCCCGTATCAGTCAGCTAGTCACACACAGTGAGACCGCAACCGAAGAGAGAGAGAGAGAGAACGCGAAACGGTGCGAAAGAATGGGGTAGAAGTGCGTGCATCGCATGGTGTGGTGACACTTTTGTGGGGAAGAGAATGAGGAATCGGGAGACATCGAACTGAGTCCATACTATACATTCAGATTAGTGTTTGCGAGAGAGAGCGGGATTACGGGCGTTTGTGTGTAATTGTGTCTGTATATGTGCGGAGGGGGGATTGAACCCATGAACGCGAGATGAACAATAAGCATAAAAATAACAACAACAACAACAGCTGCTGCTGCTGAAACCACAATCGAATCAACGAAAAGAAATGAGCATGTATGTGCATGTTAGTGTATTTGTATGTTTTCCCTATCTGCCGCTTGCTTACTGTCCGCCTTATCGCCGGTCTAATTATCCTACTATGGATACATACGTTCAGCTAACTCGCACTACCCATATCATGTGCGCGCGAGATATGTGAAGCTGGTGTGTGTATCTGTGTGTATGGGAACGAGTGAAGCAGATTGGATATTTGGGTGACCGATGTGTGTCAATTGCGGACTGAGGGACAGAGCGGGAGAGATAAATGGAGAGAGAAGTTGAAAAAATACTCAAATAAGGGGCGAGAGGTGATATTATTCGAGTGGTAAATGCATTAAACCCAAACGCGGTGAGGTTTTAACATTTTATTTAAATTCCACTGTCAGGGCAGCGGTCGACTGACGGATGCGGCACATGTTTTTCCTCACAAATCACATCTATCTGTGCGTCTGTTTTTGTCTGATAACGTAGGCAAAACAAATAGGCGTCTATTGGAATGGACGTCCGGACACATTCACAAATTGTAGTTACAACAAAAGCGATACATCATTCTCATGATCAAGTTCAGAGAGAAAAATCTGAGGTCATTATTCGTCAAGCCGTACATACCAACTGGACACATCGCTGTCGTCCTAGCCGCATCACAGCTCGTGTCATATCAAGTTAATAATACAGTTTATTTACTCTGTGATTGGACACCGTTTCAGGTTTTACTGAACATGCTTTGATAGAAAAATATGCGCACAAAAGAAATACGAAAAAAGATTTGGATTCATAAGAAAGGACTTGAACGATGTGAATGTATCTACGCAAGTTTAGCATTCAAATAGTTTATAAGCTGTATTCCTTAAGCCAACAACCCGGATAGATAGGGAACTGTCGAGTCGTGAAGTATCTTAGTGCGCGAGTACAGCAGCTCGAGTGTATTAGGACTTACTGATATGCAAACGGAACAACAACGATGAGTATGGATAAGTTGGGAAATGGCGGACGGTAGTCTTTGCAACCAATGACATGACGAAAAGACATTATTTGCTGTGTACCCAATCAGCGATGAGTAAGTTATGTCACTTCGCTTAGTACTGCACTCAAACAAACGTTTGAATGAGCAAAGCACAATCCTCGAAGGAAAAAACTGGGAAAATTATAGAGGAAAAGTAGGTTCAGTGAAAAGTGCACAAAAGAATATACGGTAATTTTCAAGAGTTCAATCGGTAGACCAAATATTAGCTCTCCCGTCCCGAAGAAAACCTCCTGTTACCGTTTGTGAGCAGAAATACACAATAGTATTTTAAATACTGTTCACGGTCCACAGAGGAAACAATAATGAGAATATATAAGTATGATGCATATCTAATGAAAGACGGTCTGATCAACTGCCCGGTTGCCGAGTGGGTAGCATGCTTGCGTTCTACCCATGAAGTCCCGGGTTCGATCCCCAGTTGAGTCTGTGGATTCGCACTGCTGGTTAGACCCAACCGGGTAGAAACAGCTGTCCAATGCTTCCTATATTTTGCAGTTCACTCTTCATTTGCCATTTACACAACGAATTTCCCCCTTACTAAAGAGAATAATTCACGGTTGTTTGATTAGACAGGGGTCTTCGGTGGATTGGGAACAATATTTTGAAACACTTTGTATAGCTTATTCTTCATTCCACAGTTCGTTGATGTCATACAGTCTCGTGTAGTCAAAGGTTTCTGATCGATTCCGCCAAATTACTGTGGGACTGATTGCTGAACTAACTTTTCCTGCCTGAACTGTGTTCACCAACCTACTGTATTTGATAGAACTATTTATTACCCAATTGTTTTGAGCTGTTTCACGACTGAGGAGGTTAAATGAAATGTTAGCCTCTTGATGTGTTTTCTCCCTCTCCTCCTTCCTCTGTTCTAGCGATTTGGCCAAACCTAAACGAAAGCACTTCGGTGTACCGGAAATCATTATTAAACATCATTATTAAACAAAGCAAAGGAAAACAGAACTTCGCAGTAAATAAAAATCATCATTATCAGTAGTAGCAGCAGCAGCAGTAGTAGTAGCAGCAGCAGCAAATCGTTAGGACAGAGTAGTGGGTGAATGAGCCTAATGAACGGAATCCGTTGCTGGCATTGACCGCACTTATTCCACGGGAAGCAGTTAGTCCCAAAGAAAAGCCCGCAAAATGTAGAGTGGCCTGTTTGATTTTCAGATGTACTGGGCACATTGTATTTTCCTACCATGTTTTTGGTGTACAATGCGTGTGAAAATCAACTAGGCTCGCCCAAAGAAGACACTAAACTCATGCTATCATTCATTCGTAGTGAAGGTTGAATCCCCGACAGGATCGAACCAGTATTGTTGGTGAGTTTCAATACTGATGCGATAGCTGTCCAGCGCTGTTTTTCGCACACACAATTATTTTCCGTTTGCTCAACAATATGTGCTCATAATAAATGATTTTCGAGAATGAATAAACCAGATATGGTGGAGTGTAGGAAAGCAAGAAGAATACCGACTTCTTTTTATCCGTTGACTGAACAAAAGTACAATAACAATTTTTCAGGAAAGAGGTTGCGCTCCATGAAAGGATACTTGGGAGATCCATAAATGGGTAAGACGAGAGGTGGTGTTGGGGTTAACCAATCTGCGGGCCATTTTTACCAGTCACATAATCACTTAACCACCGCCTTGAAGTCGGATGCGGAGGACTAGACAGAGCAATGGTTGAACGCCCAAATTTGTGCCGTTGTACTCCGCTATTTGGTCCGTGCGTTCAGCCATCATCGACGTCAACTTATTTTTTCACTTGATGATTTTCATGACATCTTTCTGGTTTTGCGTCTTCCTGATACCAGAGCAGTTGCTTGTTGTGTAGTAAATAAATGCAATGCGTTTTGTTTTATCATAACCGTTTCAGTATTCACATTTTTGGAGAATTCCCAAGATTGGTACAAAATCGATGGCATTGAGGGAAGGTAGTCCGATCTCACGGGTTCAGTTGATTTTTCTAGTGACCTCGGTACACAAATGAAAACGAGGCATGAATTTGAGAATAATAATGTATATTTTTGATTTGTACCAAAGTGTCCGGAAGAATGGTCAATGAAATTAGCTGACCATAAATTTAGTGTGTTTGCTTTTTTACACATCTTAAACTGATGAACAGTAGAAGAGATGTAAATTATATTCCCAAGAAATTACTGTTTAATTGTGCGAACGAGTAACTCAAGTCATGAGATGTGGAGTGATGGACTGCATAACAACTTCGAAGTTGTCTACCACTAGAGTTCGGTGATGATGACAGGATTCAAACATAGTGCCTTATGACCCGGGGCTAATCAACAACAGTGACTCCGATTGCTTAACCATTACCACGCATATGACAAAGACATTGTATGATGGAAACAGGTCAGGAGCACAACCATGGATAACGTCGAATGCGAGACAAACGGAGCGTGAACGGAAAAGCTAGAAACTACTGGATAGCACTTCCGACCTAATTAGGTCTCATTCATAGTACGAATGCATCGATCTAAATGGCGATCGAACCTCACAGATTGAACATAATCATGCTGCCGATTGAATCAAATTCACCATCACTATCATATAACTAACAGTCAGGTTCAGAATGGTTTCAATCGAGCAATAACCCCAGAGGCTAGTGCTGAGATGCAAAGACGTGGGATTGTAACAACATGCTCGCAAACATGGATTGTGCCAAATTGTGTGAATTGTGTATGAAGCTCGGCACACTACGAAATTCACTGTACAATCGAATCATAGCTACCAAAACTATCAAGAAAAAAATTGTTTATAAGTTCCCACTGTACCGATCGCCTGCGTAGGGTTTGCGAGA